AACCATCGTAAATTTGTTTTTTACTACAAAACTCACAAAACTCTAGGAAATAGACTGCACGAAATCTTGCATGACGCCATTTGTTGGTATGGCCTCTTATTTATGACGTTTTTTAACCAATCAGCGCGCGAGAAAATTTACAATTGTGGTAAAAAAAACTATCTATTATGCCTCAGGACCTCATTTATTTTCACATTGTAGATGACCACTTAAACTGATGAAACGTGGAAATGCAATGTTCTGTCAGACAATATATCATAATTTTATTCTTTGATCCTTTGTTTAGATTGTTATATTGACATCACCTACATCGTTCACTTTATTTTTTTGCAAAGACAAAAAAATCTCTTAAATTAGTCTGGAAAACCTGTTGACGTCTGACGCGTGTTTAAAAAATTCAAAAAAATACTCATCCTTTATCCGTTTTAGTATTTTTACTTTAAAACGTAATGGAAAAGGGATGGATTTTTTATTTTGCTGCCGCAGCCATTGCGGTTTTTTTAATGAGGAAAATGCCACATTGTGGTGTGGTAATGATTTCTAGTATAGTAATTTGCTGTTATGAAGTTGTTCAACTGTAAAATTAAAATGTCATCAAAATCAGATAAACGAATATCTAAATTTTTTTTATCATACTCACAACTCTTCCTTGATATCTAAGCTATTTTATCTTTCTAAATTTCCGCATTTGATTCTGGGTCTTCTACCTAGCGTCTAAAGAAAGCGAAAAAGGAACTTTCCATTTTTTAAGAAAAACAAAACACATATTCAGTCGCCTTAATTCGAAGGCGAAGTCACTCAACCCTAGCGTATAAAACACTAGTAAAGAAAATTAGCTAAAATTTTAAAACTAAATTTATTTGTTGTCGTAAATAATACATGGAATATTAGGTGTATGTATGGACCTAGTTTTAAACGAGGAGCACAAATATTTACATGGTAACGATAACACGTAACAAAGATAAGCTTACTTTGGCACAATTGTTCTCCATTACGCTACTTTACAACCTTAAATACCGTATTGTTTCTCGTACTACTCGAACTAAGGATATATGCTTTGAATAAACAGTGCTCAGAAAAGGGTTTCGTGCCTGGGAAGATTATTTTGAAGTAGCCAGGCGTAATTAAGGGTATTACAACACCACCTACTGAAAAACTCTGAAAATTTACTCAAAATAAAACTTATTTATTTGGAATTTGTACGACAGCTTTTGAGCCTTTAACTCAAAAACTCAGCTCAGTTGGATACAAAGAGTTCAGAAATTAGCCTTTTCATTGAGAATAAGTATTTTAATAATAAATATTTCGGATCAGGTGGAAAAATAAAAAAAATAACAGGAGTCTACTCACAAAATTCAGCTACAAAGTTGGTAACGACGTAATTTTCCTCGCACCAGTCCAAAGTTGAAGTTGGTTCTCCCCAAAAACCATAGATACGTTGTACTGCAGGTGCCATTATCCAGGCTTGGCAATCAAAAATAACCACAGAAAACTTTATTAAACTACACCTGCAGTGGAGAACATTCACTACAGCAAGGCACTACTATAAACAACAACAACGCGCCCTCGCGCCCCAAGTCCTCGGCTGTGTCCGACTTATTTACATATGCCCGAACTATACCCGAATGGTACCGACGCATTCCCGAGATTGAAATCGTAATACGAAGACTACTAAAAATGAAGCGAAATTTAGCCTTTTCACTAACATAGAAAAGGATGAGAGTGTATTCTGCCTAACCTATTAAGCTTAAGTGGATATCTGTCTTGTTTTCTTCTTTTTTAATGAGTTATGTCATTTTTTTTTCGTGACAGTTAAATCTAAAAATTTTCAGATCGAAAAGTAAATACGTTTTTTTAAAAATATCATTAAAAAAAATTGGCCTCGTATAAATTTACATAAGTTTTTTTTTCGTAGTTTTTCGTATCATTTATAAACCAAAATTGACGGTATTAGTTCGAGTTCTATTTGTCACTAGGGAGAGGAAGGTAAGGATCTGTCTAGGGTCTTGCTTAGCATGATGGGATCTATGAACGCTTAGTCATTGAAAATCCAAGATGGAGGTCGAAACAGCAAGAGAAAAGGCTCTTTCAGACTACAAAAAGAAACTCCTAGAGCATAGAGAACTAGAAGCCAGGTTAAAAGAAAGTAAGTCAATATTCTCATTAACCATGATACAAACCTATATAGGTTTCAGACTTAAAACATTCCAGTTGAAAATAGCTTCAAATGTGCTTTGGTCACATTGTTTGAGCTCAATACCGGTAGTCAAGAAATTTTTGACAATGAGCTTAAATATTTCTTGATCTCCATAATAAATGCCCAAACTCCAGATGATTTATCTTTGCACTTAATAAAGCTTTCTCAATATCTTTTATTTTTAATCATTCAGTGCGAGAACAGCTGAAGGAATTTACAAAAGACTACGACAAGTCTGAAAATGATCTTAAAGCTCTTCAAAGTGTAGGCCAGGTAAAGACGTTAACTAGTATGAGAAATAAAAGATAAAACTCTTGTTGAATTTGCCTTGCGTTCAGATATATCATAACTACAGATCCAGAGGAAAAAAAAATACTAAAAATTGATGTAACGATTATTTAGATATAACAGTATGAAGTTGAAGGTTGATTACTCTGGTATTTTTTTATGAATGTAAGTTTTAAGTGGCTTTTTGGTTGTATTAAAGATTGTTGGTGAAGTGTTAAAGCAGCTAACAGAAGAAAAATGTAAGTATTTGAAATACCTTCAAATTTATTGGTCTTTTGTGGAGGGAGGAAAAGACAAAAACCTTTTCTTACAAGAAGCTGAAATTCATTTTCAAAGTACTGTTTTACATTTTTTAATAGCTTCTTATATAACTTTTGCATAGTATTGCCTTCCTACACTAAAAGAAATACCTCTTTACTGTATGTATCCTAACAGTGATGCAGAAATTGTATGCTTAATGCTTTTAAGTTGGGCAATATATCTTTCACTTTGCAGCTCCCATCCTTGATACTTCTGCTTATGAACACTTAACTTGTAAATGACACATACACTATACTATTCTATTGAAAATATGCCTTACTTGCCTAATGTAGCACAACATATGATCTAGGAGAATGAGTGGTTACAAATCTTGCCACTTAATGCTTTTACCTGAGTTCGATAATGAAATAGGAATTGATGTTTTGATTGTCTATTTCCAGTCATCGTGAAAGCTACAAATGGCCCACGTTATGTTGTTGGTTGTAGAAGACAGGTACAGTATATGTTGCTCTAGTTATGTATGAGAAAAATAGCATTAATATCATTTTTTGAATTATAGGAAAATTTGTGATAAACAATTTAGAGAGATATTCTTTTCAATCTTAATATGTTGTCATTTCAGGTTGATAAAGCAAAACTAAAGCAAGGCACACGTGTGGCTCTGGATATGACTACACTGACCATTATGAGGTAAATAACTAATCAATACAATCAATGTAGCAAGTTATTCAAAGATCTAAAAGTGTTTGAGTTGAGGGGGAGGGAGGGAGGGAGGGATACATGTACCTCAAAGAATGGCCTATAAAATTTTAAAAATTTTCAGGACTAGAAATGACAGCTTGTCAGTCCCCGGTCATGTTGACTAGGCAAATTAGTTTTATCTGGGTCGTACCTCATTTCTGGGTCAAGGTTATTGGTTAAATAATCAACAAGGCAAATATTTGATCAGATAAGATGCACTATTCTGACTGGATAATGTCCTATGACCAGCTATTATCTTTATAGACGTCCAGATGTCTTATCATTTATGTGACTTTTTTTTTATAAGATACCTACCCAGAGAAGTTGACCCTCTTGTTTACAACATGTCACATGAAGATCCTGGTGATATTACTTACTCTGATGTTGGAGGATTAAGCGAGCAGATTAGAGAGCTAAGAGAGGTAAAGCCAACTTATGCCAAGATAATAAACTAGATAAATTTGTACACATTTTGACAATTTTGACAATTCTAAACATATTTTTTGAGAGAATAAGAGAAAAATATCAAAAATATTCTCTTTACTTCATTATACACACCGAACGCATAATATATTACTATTATATTTTTCTGTACATGAGTAAGTCATCATCATCATCATTTTTTGCAACAAAAGGCTGTAGTATGTAAGTAGTAACATGATTATTCCTTTAAATCCAGGTAATAGAACTTCCTTTGACAAACCCAGAACTCTTCCAGCGAGTAGGTATATCACCACCCAAGGGATGCCTTCTTTTTGGTCCCCCAGGTGAGTCACTGATTCTCTGTATACTTGTATAGCAACTGTTCATAAATGCTTACAGTACAACTCACAAAAATATGATCCCACATTTAATGTATTCAAATGTACATCTATGCATGGGCTTTTCCCTGCCCAAGGGGTGTTTGCATGTCTTATTTGGTAAAACCAGCTAGTTTCCCATTAAAGTGTATCAGTTTAACATACAGAACCTGTGTATAGATGTACAGCTGTATGCGAAAATATTAAATGTGGCCATACTGTACCTTTGCACATTGTCCTGAAACTTAGGGCCCATGGGGAGCAGCTTGGGGTTAGGTGGTGCTGGTCTCACATGATACCATATTAAACATGATTATCATAATGACTAGCTGTTACTGGTTGGGACTGTGTTGGTGTATTGAATACAAAACAAGTAAGAAGTACACATAAAAACAGTGTAAAACATTTACAGTAACAATACTTGCATATTGGGCATTAAGTCCTTTGTCAGAGTCTTGAACATTGGTGACTTTAAAAACGTGATGTTCATGAACCTCATTTTCTTTAGTCCTACCAAATTCCAGAGGAGTGTTTCATGACCCTTCATAATTTTTACTTTCTTCTCATAAAAGGTAAAAGACCTCAAGACTTTTATATATTTGATTGGTTTTATTCCCAGGTACTGGCAAAACTCTGCTTGCAAGAGCAGTTGCTAGTCAACTTGATGCTAACTTTTTAAAGGTTGGTTTTGGTTTCAACTCTATAAAAATAATCTAAAAATCTATTGAGCTTTCTCTGTTGTATCACGGTGTGGGACAATCACAACTAAATGAAAACCAATTAAATCAAAGCGGCCCAAGATCGAATTCGAATTTGCAAATTGATTTTTGAGGAGGGAGGAAAACAGGAGGAGAGAAGCACCAAGCTACTCTACTCACGATGACACTGAGACTGGCAGGAATCAAACCCTGGTCGCATTGGTGAGAGGCAGCACATTAGTAGTGCAGGCCACCCATGCTACTATTTATACAGTATGATTGAACGTCATGTTAAAGACAAAGCTTTTACCTGTAAATCAGTAATAATGATAATTATTTTCACAAATTGATAACAAGGAAGATTGACTTTATGATTGTGTCTGGTTTAGGTGGTATCAAGTGCAATTGTCGACAAATATATCGGAGAAAGTGCTAGACTTATACGAGAAATGTTTGGTATGTTATTAATCAATAAAATGATTAACTCCATGTCAAGACATACACAAGGGCGGATTGGGGGGCAAAGGGCGGACAAACTCAATTAGCCCCCCCCCCCCCCCGTCTAAAATTTTGTCTAAAAATACATGTACTCTATATTCTAAATCTAAGATACAGTACCAACCTATTGATTAATAGTAGGCTGAGCTGATTAGTGATAATTCAAGAAAAAGAAAAGAAATGGTTATTTGAATTAAACCTTAGTTTCTCTTCATTTAGCCACTCTGTCTTGCTTATGATTGAATTTTGACATCTTTGCTGTGATTTTATTTTCCCCATTAGGATATGCCAGAGATCACGAGCCTTGTATTATATTTATGGACGAAATAGATGCCATTGGTAAGTTACAATCAGAGCGAGTGAGAAACGGGAGGGCAAAAACCAGATGCACGGAACCATTCAAAATCCATATAGTGTACAATGCAGTAGTCACAGTATGTGTGCCATATATATCTTACACAGGTATACATCAAAATGCTCTGTTATTCATCTTTCTTCATACAATATAAAACTCTAGGGCTGGGTCTTAAGGGACTGGTCATTATTTATCGAGGGGGGGGGGGGGCTGGTGCAATATTAAATATGCTATGCTTGATTTTTGCTAACCCATGCTTTTCCTTCCCTTTCCTTTAAGCATGATTTTTGCTTAAACCCATGCATAAAAAATGCTGACCCACCCCTATTTGCACCAGCCCCCCCTCTTGATAAATAATGACCAGTCCCTAAATAGAATATATAAAATTAAAAGATAATGGATTGTTTGCTGTTTAAGGTGGCAGACGTTTCTCAGAAGGAACATCAGCTGACAGAGAAATTCAGAGAACTCTTATGGAGGTGAGGCGGCATATTTTACTAGGCTTGTATGCAAACATAGAATGCCCATAGAATAATTATTATTTCAAATTGTATTGTAACTCATCTCTGGGGTCTCAGGCATCACATGAAACTAGACTAGGTCTCACCCTTAATAAAGATTTTTTTCTGAATTCTTCAGTTAAAATGCAATTTGATCTGTAAGTTGGCCAGCCCAGAAGCTAATTCAGGGTATATCCATCTGTGAGTCGACCATGGCCTTACTTTGATCAGTGCGGAGGTTATTTCAGGGTATCTTTACAAATTTGAATGTTTAAATGTGTTTGTTATTTACAGCTGTTGAACCAGATGGATGGTTTTGATGTTCTAGGACAGGTAATGTTTCTTTCTTTTATCATGCTGCATTGAATCTCTTCTCCTTCTTTGTGACAGTCATTAGAGAGATTTTTCATTCAAACTTTATTCCTGAAAGAAAGTAATATGAGTTTTGAGCGTGAAATCAATCATAATTTCAAATGAGAGGCAGAAGGCTTTTATGGGGCATATTTATATTATAGGTAAAAATGATCATGGCAACCAATCGACCGGATACTCTAGACCCTGCTCTGTTGCGCCCTGGACGACTGGACAGAAAAATAGGTAATATGATATGACAAGATATGTCAAACCAGAAAACCAAAACTATTTCCTGATTATCCCATTTCGCATTTAACCCCCTTATTTCATCGTATAGAAATTCCACTGCCCAATGAGCAAGCAAGAATGGACATCCTAAAGATTCACTCATCGAAAATCACCAAACATGGCGAAATCGGTGAGTCGATTATAGTCACTGACATGCAGACATTCGAATAAAAAAACGATTTTCAGCTTCAAAAGTTTCAAGGAATTTGTGGCTCAAGATACGTTCTTAATCGTTCTATCCATATTTTATTCATTCATCCATCCATTCATCCATTCATTCACTCACTCTTATTCATTACTCTTATTAATTTTTCCTTTGTTGACATTCCCACAATAGTCTTGTATCGATAATGCGATCTTATTAACCTTCAGATTACGAAGCAGTAGTAAAGCTGTCCGATGGCTTCAACGGCGCCGATCTACGCAATGTCTGCACTGAAGCAGGTAGGTATTTGTTATCCCATCCCATCCCATGACGTGTAGAATTTGTGATACGTTCACGGCACGGATGTTTAAAGTCTGCTAAACAATCACAGCACGTAAGATAACTGCTAGCCAGAACACTTTCATGGTTACGGTACTGATCTTAGGACATTAAGCCAATCAGCAGTCGAGATGAACCTCTAGTCTATGCCAGCTAAAATGCTTGAGCGCAGACAAGGTTACTCAGGGGCGTAGCCAGGGATCTTGCAGGGGAGGTGCACAGGCAATGGGTAATGATTTGCAGAACCAAAACAAAATAAAACAAAAAAGGAATAATGAGCGAGTGACTCTTAAAAATGCTACAATTTAACCAATTGACATCAGATTTTTATGTGTCTGTCCTCTTATTGACAATAAATTGCGTCATCACATTGTCAAAGTAGTGTGGATTCACGAGGCGTAGCCGAGTGGATCCGCATACTACTTTGACAATGTGATGGCGAAATTTATTGTCAATAAGAGGACAGACACATAAAATCTGATGTCAATTTGTTTTTTACAATAACAAAAACGAAAAAAACTTCTCATTTTTAGCGATCAAAACAACCAACGGAAAGAGCGCGCGCTCGTTGACGTCAGCTTTATCTGTCTGTCCTCTTATTGATGATAAAAAATAACCAATCAGCGCGCGAGAAATTTGTAAGCTATTGTAAAAATGCAGATGGCAAGTGGTCTTACTTTAATCAAAAAACAAGGCCCCCCCCGGTTGCGGCCCTGTTACTGGATGGCACGGACGTTAAGTGATCTAATGAATTCCTTGGAATATTTTTCTTGCAGGAATGTTCGCTATTCGAGGTGAGAGAGAATATGTCATAGAAGAGGACTTCATGAAGGCAGCTCGTAAAGTATCAGAAAACAAGAAGCTTGAATCGAAGTTAGACTACAAACCCGTCTAGAGCAATGCATTGAAAACCTTAGTACGCGATACTACTTGTGACCATTGTTTGAAAGAAGCAATTAAACCCCCAGAGTAACATTAGCTATCTTGTTCTTGGTGATGTTTTTAAATATTTTGAATATAGATATACCTTGGTAGATGGTACCGCGATTATGGTTTTCTTAGATAAAAAGAATAAAAGAATAAGATCTAAAATGGAGTTATCACCTTTTGCAACATACGAGGGGGGAGGGGGGCTTTATCTTTACGGATTGGCCTTCTCTCCGTGAACGTATTCGGTGAATACGCCACTTGAAATCGCAACTTTTTGAAAACGGATACATGTAGACGACGAAAACGATTCGAAAATGCTACGTGTGGATGAGAATTTATTTGAAAACGGAATACAAAAAAAATCCATTTTCAACTGATATCCAGATACGTGGGAAAGGGGCCTGAAACAGAGTTTTTTTTACCAAGGTCGCCTAAAACATGATAGCACAATAGCCCACTTCTGGGATATACTTCGCTTGTCACGCACAAAGGTATGAGGCTACGTGGTGAATGCTCAGTCGTTCGTAACAGGCGGTAAGAATAAATCTAATTTAGCACGTAGCCTCATACTGAAACCTTGGTGCGTGACAAGCGAAGCATATCACGGAAGTGAGAAATATGACAAACAGCGAGGAACGCCTGCTATTGTTTTATACAYATAAGCTAGAACAGCCTAAAAACACCAAGGTCTTGCTAGTCTCCCTCGCATCCGTTTTTAGTGTCGTCACGCAACGCTCCCTTTGTGGGGAGGGAGCGTTGCGTGACGAGACTAAAAACGGATGCGAGGGAGACTAAGGTCTTGCTTTCTAGCGTTTGTTTGTGCGAAACCCCAATGGCTACGTCGATTTCGTCGTTGCTGCCAATGCGACAATCGTCCATCATGTGTGCGAAACACATTCAAGGATTTCTTCATAAGAATATCAAGAGATTAGTCTTATTGACCTCCTCCAGATGCAAGTGAGTAGTCAAGCATACATATACTGTTTGTTGGTTTGTTGATCTGCGGCAGGCTCAAAAGTTCATTTCTTCAGCTGTGTTTTATCGGTTCGTTGCCGAAAGCCAAAAACAGCGGAGGTCAAATTTTCACCAAACTGTATTTATACCGCTCAAATCCAACAAAAAGCATCTTTGCCCATCAAGATTTTCGAACCAAAATGTGTAATAAATACCTCTCGTACTTCGAATCTTGTATTGTTTAAACCTATAGAAAGGCCCTGTTTGAAACGACGACACGAGAGCCCGCGTATTAAGAGCGACGAACGACAGAAATAAATCAACAGTGAATTTCTTAGTGCTACTAGTAAGATTTCAAAAGCGTTTATCTGACTTATCTACTCTCAGCGTACGAGGAAAATAAATACATAAAATCGAGTCAGATGCTACGGAAATGCATGATATATTAAAGAGACTCATTCTGATTGCCACCCTTTATTGCGGTTTACGTTACATTTTTTGCGAGGGCTTTCAAAGGAAAGCCTGAGCTTTAAAAAATGCAAGCCGTTTTTTTTTTCGTTTTGTCGTCAAATGGGGGGTCATACAGCTGCAGAATGCTGTGTTTTGCGAAGAAAGCTTTCGAAAGAATCATGTATTTTACGCTCATATCGCATACAAATCCACACGCCATTCGTGGTAGGCCCACACTAAAAGATGTCGAGCGTTTTCGGAACTGGTATGTCGCACGAAGTCTATAGTTTGAAAAATACTAGATCTCACGAGATAAAAAATAAGCCATATATGAGTTCAAGCTATGAAAACACTAACAAAACCATGACTGCTGACTGATCAACTAACTATGACGCTGAAATGAACATCTCAGATGCTGAGAAAATCATCTTCACGAGAAGAACTTTGAAGGTCACGCTATTACAACAACAGCGAAGGAAATCGCTATATTGGATCAAGAGGATTGTCAACGAAGGAACTTGAATCGTAAATATCTAAGCTTAACTTTTGTGTTAAATATCCTGATTATTTTGTTTGCTTTTATTTTGCTCAATAGCTGTAAGGTACGATTTAATAGGGCGTACATAATCACTACTATCATTTTACGAGCGATCACGAATGTTGGTTACATTACATGTGCAGTTGCACGTGCTTAGCACGAGAAGACAATGGTAAATATTTTTACAGACTGTGATATATTAGAAAAAGTTATCAATTTTACAAATGTACAAGAACATAATGATGTTATAGTGTCAATGAAAGTACAAGAATTCAGATCTCGTTATGCAAAGTATCTATATCATGAAGTGTGATACATTGTTATTCAGGGGCGTAGCGAGGACCTAGGAGCTGGGGGGCACTGATCCAAAATGAAAAAAAAATTCAAATTCTCCCACGTGCAGATTCCAGGCTCTGACCGGGTTCGCAGTGCACAGGTAGCCCAGTCCGGATAACTTCGTATAAATTCGCACTTTTGTAGGTTTTAATAATTCATTTTCCTCTTTCGTTTCGGTTTGATATGTTTTTTTTTGTTGTTATTCTTTTTTCAAAAAA